TGTGCTGCTGATATGATTAGTCAATTAATGATAGCTGGTCATTTTGTGTCAGGATCAAAAAACAGTGAAATTTGTTTTGTTTTTGTTTTTTGTGAAAAGTTCATTTTTTGGCCAATGAAGCGTTTAGCAATTATTTAAAATGTATCTGATCACTCTACACAATAATTTAGAAATGTGAATGAGAATGTGAATGAACACCACAACAGCTTAAGCAGCAAACTTTGCAAAACACAAAATTGATGTCACTGCCAAAACTTTTTGCCATGACTGTACACTCGAAATGACAGCGAAATGTGGCGATGCGTTACTCTCATCTGACCGCAGAGGGCGCCAGCGCAACGGAAATAATCCACCAGACTGTTATACATCTAACCTGAAATTTGTAAGAAAAACCTGTAAGGGAACAAATTCAGATGCCTCGAGATCCTGAAACAACCCTTGACCCAGTGCCTTACACATTCGAGAAGCCGTGAATGATTCATGCGCTTCAGTGTTGGTTTTGACCCTCAAGCCTCAACGTAAATTTTTCAGTAGGAGAGCTGGGTTGAGAGTTTAAGCAGCTAAACTCAGTCTGGGGCCGGTTGCATAAACTGTTTAGACTGGTCTTAAAAAGTTAGTCATCTAATTTTTTTTGTTCAAGACTGGTCATAACTTTTTTAATTCAGTTATGAAAAGGTTGATTGGTCTTATTTGTATTGGAAAATTAAGACTGATTACCCCTTGGCAACTGCTAGTTGGTCAAACTAGCTCTTAAGAAACAGTCTTAACATGGTGCCTAAGTTTATGCAACTGGCCCCTGGTGTCTGTCTGAGCCATCAATGAAGACTAGGTGTAGATACTTCAACATTTGCCCGAAATTATTTATGCAATAGCTTTTATAAAGCTCTGTTCCTGATTTAGTTGACATGGTTTGCATACTGAGAGGAATCAGTGTTTGGATTATGATTATTATGAGGCGAGTGTTCATGCATCCTTTACTATGTATCAGTTACTTCAATGTGAGCAAGTTGCTCCACTTTTCAACCTATGTGCGGTTGAGAAGAATTCAGGTGCCTCCCTGCCCTTAGGGTCCTCTGAACAAAGACAGCCTTCATATTTTAGCCAGTAAAAAAAGTGTGTGCTAGATCAGTGTTTCCCAACCTTTTTTTAGTCGCGGCACCCTTTGGAAATGTTAACAAACTTGTGGCACCCTACAAAATTAATTTTGTCACAATATTTGAATTTCTAACTCGACAGACGGCACCCCGGTTGGGAAACACTGTGCTAGATCACGGGTTTACCTGCTGTCATAATCAAAAAAATAAGCATAACTCGAGCAGAACACAGATATATATAAAGGTGAATGTTTGTGAAGACAAACAAATCAGTTGGAGACATTTTTCATTTACATATTTATTAAAGTATACAATAACAAACAATTAGTTTTTTCTCTTAAACTTTAGAGATGGAAAGAAATAATAAAGATGATATACTTATACAATAAAGAAATCTAACAATGTCAAGCACAACAATCACCATTAAGCCACAGCATCACTGAATGTGAAAGTTGAACATGAGCACAATTAATGCACATTACTTAAAATATATTCAACAATTTGTTGAGAAAATGAGATCTGATTTTTTTCTTCCTCTCGAAGAAAACACTTATCGTTTGCTTAGATGGACAATAAATCATTTCCTGAATAATTTCAGTACCTTCAATTTTGTCTTTGCTGGATGACATCAAGAGGTTTTTAAATACATTTCAAGGAATCCTAGTCAACACAATAACACTCTGACTTTATCAAAGAAAAGTCTTAGAGCATCTAAATCACCAGTAGTAATTATGAACATTTATGCACAAAGATGTCACACATCTTTTCTACTGACTGTGAAGTATATGATGCACCTACATGCTACTTTCCTCCACGATTCCTTTACAACACATTGGGAGATCAAGAGCTGGCTTCTCATTGCAAGCAGGTCACACTGACCTGCGGCTAACTGAAAGTACTGTACATGATCTGGCTTTAGCAAAGCCTATTTTGACATTTCCCTTCTTCAAGCCCTTCTCCATATCTTACGAGTATCTGACGTATAAAAATACAGGGCTAACCTTACAAAAACCTGCCAGCAGTACAGCCCCACCTTTCAAACAGGTACAAACACAGTCCCGTCCCACTTCTGAAAAAATATTTGGTAGCAAAATAGAGTCTACAGTACAAATGGCATGAATTTCAGAAAATAGGCATGCATAATCAATTTATTAGACATATTTACAAGTTCGGCTGAGAAAGATCACAACTCTGAGTGGTTAAACACTGGACAACCCACAAACACTGGACAACCCACTTACTCAACAATACGCATGAACACCTGTGTAGAAGTCTCCAATATACTTATTTACAAACTCTTGTTATGAAAGTTGATGCGAAGGCACACTCGCTCAGTTTCATTTCTGGAGGACGTGAAGACCCGCAAGTATGTGTACATACAGTATGCACGACCAATACTGTGAGATATGAAATGCCCAGTTTTCAAAAGAGAAACTTGTTCTCCAAAGCAGACAATTGAGAGACATTGCCAGACCTCGCAGAGCTCCTCACCCACTCAATGAAGACACTGAGCGAATAACAATGAAACCGCAACACAATACATGGAGTTATAAGAGCAACGAATCCTATAAAACTCAATCATTCACATTCATTCACACAGAACAGACGGCCGGTTCACTGCAGACAAAGCTGAAATCAACACTAGACCAGATATTACAAAACACTCACTGTGGCTGGCTGGCACAGTTATAACATCCTCACATGCATAGATTGATGAGAGATGAAGAACACTACAACTGGAAAACTACTGTAGAAAGAGTATTAGGCTCTCAGCATCTGTGCAATGACAAAATCCCCTATTATTTCAACAAACATAACAGAGATATTGTGAAGCATAGATAACACTTTCACAAGTGTTACATAAACTGTTATGTGTGCACATGAAGTTTCTTATATAGTATTCTGTGTAGTGAATTTTAAAAAGGTGCATTGCTAATGTATGTGCTGTAAAGCACATTTCACAGGCTAGGGCAAAACAGGATATGGAAATTCAATGTTCTGGGGAAACTTGAAACGAAAACTTCATATTTTCACTTTACAAAAAAAAAATGTCATGTCTCTATAAAATTATCAAGCCTCTTATATACCTGTTATAGTAAACATGTACCTAACACAGCATCATAAAAGACACGACATAGGAGAGATCTTGCATACACATGCTATATAACAACATATAAATGGCAATATTTTATATCAATAATGGCATTAAAAATGGCTAACAACAACATAAAAAAACGAATATATACATATACTGTAACACACTCCTCCAACATGAGACACGTGTGAAAGTGCTACCGAGTCTGTGGAACCCAATTGGCTGCTGGGTATGAAGGTCTTCAGCCTTTGACTGCTGAAGGAACTTTTTTTCCCCCCAGATCTTGTGGTTTGTATATGTTGTGTTTGTGTAGGGAGTGTTTTTCCTATGACACACTGGAGCAGCGGATGGAGGGGGAGCCCATCTGAGTGAGCACTTTGTCCAGCCACTGAAGAGGACCGTTCAGGTGCAGTTCTATCCAGCAGGGGGTGCTAGTCACTGTCTGCCGTCTGACAGCATTAAAAAGAGAGAAATAAAGAGAGGTAAGAAAGCAAGGAGATTAAACAAACACACAGTATTCAGACACTTAAGCAACACTTTAATATATTAATTTAACTGCATCAGATCAGTGTTTCTAATATTTTTCTCAGGAGATCCCTCATGCATATGCACTTCATATCGCATTTCTTTAGCAATGAGCAATTTTAGTGATTGGCACATGAATATCATTGCACATTTTAATTATCTGTTGCATGCCTTTGCTTTAATCACAAATATGTTGAGACAATGGAGATTTTTTTTTTGGAGCGTGTTCTTGCATTTAAAACAGCTTGATGGAGAACAATGGAATGAAGCAGAACCAGGGGTCTCAAGACATGCTCTTGAATTGTCTGTGATATAATATAAAACTTACCAAAACTATTTTAGAAATATTTTGCTTAACGTTCTTCATAATAAATGCCACTTGGTTAGATATTTTATTATTATTCTAATGCAATGAAATTGCAACATTAAGTGTGGTTTAAAGGGATAGTTCACCCAAAAATGTTAATTATGTGGTCATTTTCTTACCCTAATGTTGTTAAAAACCTGTATGATTTACTTTCTTCAGTTGAACATGAAAGAAGATATTTTGAGAGATGTCTCAAAATTTGTTTTCTCCATACAATACAAGTCAGTGGTCACCAAAACGTCTTACTTTTGTGTACCACAAAAGAAGAAGAAAAAATCTTACAGGTTTGGAACAACATAAGGGTGAGTAGAAAACAACATTTTCAATTTGGGGTGAACTCTCTCTTTAAGTTTCTGCTACGTGATCAGAAAAAATATATATATTTTAAAGGTGCAATAGGTGATTGTCTTCAGAAACATTTTTTGTTATGCTGGATGAAAGTCTCTTCACATCCCGATTGCAATCATTAAGTTAAGTGGTCTAAATGTATTTATCTGTATTTATATATTCTGTGGAAGGCGTAGGACCAAGAAATGTTCGTCCAATCAAAACGCTCGGTCCGAGTGTTTTAATTGGCTTTCCTATCTGCCTGTCAACGTATGTATTAGCATAACCTCTGCGCACCCGGTTCACGCAGACAGGATACGTCATCAGTGCGTTCACGCACGCTGTGCAGACAGAGAGAGAATGGCAGACAAACATCAACAACCCGATCTTCCTTCCTGGTATTGTAGTACTTTTAAAGTTTTCTCACCGGTGAATGACACATGATGTAGCCCAGCAAGGAAAACTTGAAATCGCATCATATGACCCCTTTAATGCCCTTTGTATGGAACATATACACTCGCTTCGAACTGGAATCATGGTGGAATATCTGGTGATGTCCACTTCCCAGGGCACTTACGGTAAAATAGAACAAATGTCGCATGTGATAAGAGATACATATGAAATGTGCAGTGGTGGGGGGTGGGGGCGACTGGAATTGGGAACCGCTGATGTAGCCTATTGTAGTAATGTTGTGTCTGGTATTCTGGTCTGTGAGCGTATTTGAGGTGGGAGGGTGGGACGTTCACTTTCAGCGCTATCAGGCTAAAGTTAGCATTTTCCAAGATCTCCTACTACACCTTTAAGAGTTGTTTCTGGAACTAATAATATATTTTTTTCATGTATATATTCTTAAATTGTCCACTAACATCCTTTACTGTGAATGACTGGCAGGAGATAGTTCACAGAGTTTGCCGTTTGTCTGGATATGAACTGTGTGTGTAAACTCTGCTCTGGTGTTCTCTGCTCTGGTCCCTCACAGGGACGGTATTCACTGCCAGACACACTTCTTTTACATTCCACAATGCTTACACAATACTTGTCTAAGCCCCCCTCACTTGTGCTCACACACACACACATGTGAACAGATACAGTCCCGGAACCGCTGTTCATAACACCTTACACTGCTCTACTCGTCAATGGGACTTCCTCTAATCCTTCCACCAACACACACACGTGCGAGTCTCTCCTGAATCTCAGTCCCTCTCCTCCTACACGAGTTACAGTCACATCAGCACTGAGAGAATAATTCAGAAAATAATTATAGACAAATAGATTTTGAATTTCACTACTAAGGCTAAAACAACTAGATCTATAACAATCAATAATGATAACAGCTAGCCAGCAATAAATGTCAATATTGATTTATCTGTGCACAAGTTAGAACCTCTGAGAGTGACGCCACTTTCAAGTAGTGAAAAACACATTTTTATGGGGAAAAAGATTTTTTACATTTCATTGTAATTAGGGCTGCACGATAAATCGCATGCGATATTTAATGCGCATCTTGTCAGAAAGCCGGTTCTGTAATCAGCGGTAAATCTCCATCACCTGCGTGCTTTCACATTGAGCAGCATTAACTACACAGAGCCGTTGTTCACTGACGAGCTGCGCAAAAAATGTAATCATCTTAAAAAAATAAGATGCGCGTTAAATATCGCATGCGATTTATCGTGCAGCCCTAATTGTAATACTCCGTTAGATATTTGTAACAGCAAACACATATCCTTAAATATCCTACACTACCTTTCAGGGTAAGATATTATGGTTTTGAAAACAGTCTCTTAGGCTCATTTTAAATATTATTACAGTTTAAAATAACTGTTCTCTATTTTAATATATTTTAAAGTATAATTTATTCCTGTGATGCAAAGCTGAAGTTTCAGCATCATCACGCCCGTCTTCAGTGTCACATGATCCTTCAGAAATCATTCTAAAATACTGATTTGGAGCCCAAGAAACGTATTATTATTATCAGTGTTAAAAACTGCTGTGCTGCTTAACATCTTTTTGGAAACCGTGAATAGAAAGTTCAAAAGAACAGCATTTATTTGAAATAGAAATCTTTTGTTACACTATAAATGTCTTTACTGGCACTTCAAAAGAAAAATCCAAACTTTTTAATGGTAGTTGTATATGCAGCGTATGTAATGTTTTTTATACATAAAATTAAAAGTAACGTCATTAAAAAGCAGCAAGTTAAGTGTGAGTTCTTGGAAAATATTCTGCCTTTTAACTTTTAGTTTTAATTACTTTATTTAAACTGTTCTGCTGCTCCCACATTGTGTTTCGAACCACTTCACAATGTAACCTTTATATTCTAGACCCTTTTCATTACAGCTCTATCCAACAATGATGCGTCTGCCCACTGTTTTTGTTCCCTTGCAGCTTCTTCTATTGATTGTTTGACTGTCTCTCATTCTTCAATGCTGAGTTTCTCAGTAAATTCTCAGTAACACTATAAATGTCTTTACTGTCACTTTTGATCAATTTATTATATATCTTTACTAAATAAAAGTACTAACTATGTAAAAAAAAAAAAAATTCTTATTGACTCCAAACTTCTGAATGGTAGTGTATATGCAGCGCAATACTGTGTTTCAAATCACCTCACAATGCAACCTTTATATATGATGTGTCTGCCCACTGTTTTTTTCCCTCGCAACTTATTGTATTGATCGTTTGACTATCTCTCGTTCTCCTTCGACACGAGTTTCTAAGTAAATCTTTCATTCGTCTATGAACAGACCACAGGCTGTTTATAAGGGCAGTGCTGAAATACAGTATAAGCACAGGCTGCACTACATAGTGTATTAAGAGAGAAAAATAGATGGAGTAGTGGAAAGAAAGCAGAAAGAGTGTACGAGTCAAAACGGGAGTGAGTAAGGCTCTTCCTCAACTCAGGTGTTACTCTTCTATGCTGATACTGTGAAATGATTAGCACATTTAATGTCAAGTTTTGGACAAGACAATGGTTTAAAGAAATAAGCACAGGTGAAATCAAGTGTATTAATCTGGGGCAGCTTAGGTGACAGACAACTGAAAGAATATAAAGTTGAATTCAGACAATGGCACTGTGCAGTTCTACGACATGATGTTCACTGACGTGATGGTAAATACAGGGTCCAAGCATAAAGTGCTCAAAAGGCTTTTTTAATCTGCAACAGGGACAGTTTGTCAGCACTTGAAGAGGTGGATCTGAAGGTGGGGAGACGTGGTGGGGCGTGAGAGAGAGAGTGGGTGTCTGCTGAAACCCGACAGCTCAGATTGTGTCTCCACACACCAAGCTGTCTGGAAACCACAGTCTCACGCTCTCTCACACCAACCTTACTCTTTCCTACTTTCTTCTCAAGCTTTCGTTACAGATGTCCCTGGTCAAAACCCACAACTGCTTCTGATTAGGGTCTTGGTTTCTTGGGCTCAAACAATGAAGTTACTCAAAAGAGCAAGAGGGGGAGAAAAACAGAAAGAGAGAGAGACCAGGAAACTCTGAGACATTCTGAAGCACACCATGTGTGGGTTTGTTTGGTGTGGAATGATTTGCCAGCACAGACCTAACAGTTTATATGACGGACACGCTAAGCTGGTGGACACCAGGTTGTCTTGCTACGTCAGAGCTCTTCACCAGAGCATGCCAGACCAGGAAAAACAGTTACCACAGCCTGTCAGACCCTGCCTTGACCCCGCAGGCCTGTCCATCCTAAAACAGTCTTACAACGACACTCCCTCCTATTGTTCTATGAAGCAGTAAAATGGTTTGGGCTTCCTTTATTATAAACTTTTATATAATTCAAACTTCTATCATTTGTATTTATATCTGCTGATATTAGAGATTTTTTACCGTTATCAGTCGATATTAAACATTAGGGAGGCAAAACATTATTAAAATACTAGCCAATACCAATAATCTGATTATTTTCAGCTAATAATTTTCAGTTAATACATTTGATATAATTAACTGTTATGGATGATATTATAATTCTATACTATTCTATACTATTTTGTCTAAAAAAAAAAAAAAAGAACATTCCATTAAATTTCCAACATCAGCTGATACCAATAAATAAATAAAAATTAAAAAAATCTCTTAATACTGGCTGATGACTGATATGGTGGTAATATATTGTCCAATACTGGATATTTAATTGTGCATGTTTACTTAACCCATTTTTTCATATATATTGTCTATGCCATCATCTAACACACACTTAAAAGTTAATCTTAAAATACAAATTTATTTGAATAACTTTAATTGGTCTTTAGCATCTTTAGTGAATCATTTATTATAAGTATTAGGTAAATGATTAATATTTAACATTTCTATTATGGTTTCTATTCATGGTCTATTTGATTAAAATCAATACATTACCATAAATCTAAATGTAAAATAAAATAAAAAGTTGTATTGTTTATGTCACTGAGTATTTATAATCCTTTTTCTACAAAAAGCTGATTACGACAATCAAACTCAAAGAATTTAACAGGAAGTGCGGGTGGCTTCTGTGGTTTTGGGTAATACCACTTCAAGTGATTCAAAAGTCTTTGAGCGAAGTCAAATCAAGGCCACATTCCCAGAGTGGCAAGCGAGCTGATAGATATGGCAGGAGTGAAGTGATTGCAGTAATCGTACCTGTACTCGGCTCCCCAGCCCTTCACGAAGCTCATGCGAATGGTGCACATGCGGGTGAGCTGGTACACGGCCTCAAAGCCCTGATTCACAGACTGGGCCAACAGAGCTGCAAACTCCTGGTTATTAAAGATCTTCAGATTACAGCCTGGAAGGACACAAAGCAGTTTGAAACAAAGTTCACACGATCAAAATCAACCAAAACAAACTAAAATGACAAAACTGATTTAGCTGAATGTCATGCAACTATCACGAAGGAAGCTCTGTTTTATCCTGTTTAGTACAGCTATTCAGTAACTCAGTTGTTGAACTCTCTGTTAATGAGGGCGATTTGTTGAGGGTCTCTCATTTTATCTTACCAGGTGGGATCTTGCAAACAGTGGCAGGGTGCCAGCCGTAACGTTGGTTACAGTTGGGACTCTGAACAAAAATGGCGCTGTCACTTAGACACTCTGCAAACACTTCACCTCCAATGTAGTACAAACGCACACCCCGGCCTGCAAAAAACAGAAGGTTGCCACACAAGTAAGTATGAAATTAAATTAAATAAAATATTTATTTTTAAATAATGTTGTCTAATGAATGAGTGATTTAGAACGATGGTGTGTATACCAATGTGTCTGCGCGTGAGCTCCACAGCAGCGTTGCGATTCACGTTGGACAGCAGGCCCAGGCAGAAGCGTTCAGAGTTGGACGGGTCTGTGAAGCCGTCTACTGTTAAAGAGGGCTGGGAGGCATGGAAAGTTTCACCGACTCTCTGATTCAGCTCATAGTAGGAGATAGAGCACCAGAACGCTGGTTCACAGTATGTCACCGGCTGTAGATCTGATAGAGAGAGAAAAAAAAAGAACAATAAAAGGAGAGAATCCGCAAGGCACAGAAATGCACAAAAATAGGCAGTGGAAAAGAAATAGAAAGAAAAAGGAAAAAAGACAGGAAAAAGAAAAACAAATGGGTGGGGATACCCGAAAAGACAGAGCACGGGGGCTGGGAACTGACGACACTGTGATGTCAAGGGCAAATGTTACTTCCCAGAAATAAAGGCTGAATCGGGAAATACCATCATCACTTGGACGCAAAACGATAGAAAATTACAGGCTTTTGGCACTGGCCTTTCTCTTCGACATACGCACTCACCACTGCTGTGGAGAAGATGTCAGCGGTGTCTGCAAAAGCACGATCTGATACAAAAGGAATTGTGGGCACTCCCTTGCTAAGATGGTAACTGGAAGAATGTTTAGTGTGGGTGGTTTTCATCCAAGTTGTTTTGGGGACATACAAATAATCCTTTCAGCAATCCATTTCCTCTGAGAGACTAAAAACACGTTTCTACAAACACTCAGTTTGTGAAACTATTAAAAATGTGTATTTTTCATTACACACGGTTATATCAGTACAGTACAATCAGTCAGTCTGTGCACTGATTTAGGTCCAACAAGCTCTTAAATACACAACGCAGTAAAAGTTCTTGGCTCATTTGAAGTTGGACTTAAGGAAAAATATGACTACAATAAGCGAATAAGAACTACTTTTTTAACACAGTCAGAGAGTGAGTCATTACACTGATTCAAACCATTAACTCAGTTCAAGACCAATTGTTTTGACCAATTCATTAAAAAGAACTAACTCATACGAGTCATTAATTCACGAGTCATTCTACACCATCTGAGCTGTATGTTTGTGTGTTTTCACAAGATATGTAGTTTATTATTTATCTTTGCATTAGTTTGCGGTGGCCAGTGTTTTACTCTCATCACATTCAATTCAGATTGCAAGCACAATTCGGTTAGCATCTTTTTTTTTGTCGTGGCTCCGTAGATTCAGCAGCAGTGCAGCTCTGTTGTATAGTAGTTTATGAAACATTAGGTATTTTAGTACAGTGTTCTGTCGCATCAGCATCTGAATCATGGAGAAGAACCATTAACATAACCGAATGTCAGGAAGACTCTGAAAAAGTCCCACAAATGGTGGCTCGCAGGAGCATTTGGACATTAAACGCAAAAATCTGTGTGTGCGTTCACACCAGTGTTGCCAGATTGGAAATGTCCAAGTATCGTACCAGAAGCTCAAAATTATCGTATTTGGAAGAAAATTATCATACATGAGTGAAACGTACAGAATACAGCTATTTATCTAGACCAACAACTTTTTGACAAAACTTGCAAATTACCACAATAGATAAAAAACTAGATAAATAACTCCGCCTGTGAGTCTCTGTCATCGGAAGCTTGCGTGTTGCCAGATGTTGAGGGGGTTCTTGCCATAATGGACCGCAAGATAGTAGTGTTGTCAAAAATATCGATATTTCGATAAATATCAATACTGAAATATCTGAACGGTACCAATACTAATTTCCCGAAGTATCGATACACCGATACTAGCCGAGCGGTCACTTTCACTTCTCTCCAAAGGCGCATTGACAAACACCACACGTGACCGCAGTGCCTGTCTCGTCTCATTCGCTCTGGTTAAATAGCAAAAGTGAAGTGAATAGAAAGATGGCGAGTGTGGCGCCCCCGCGACCGGCTTTGGTTGATAAAGAACACAGCAGGAGTGCTATCTGGAAATATTTTGGATATGAAACAAATGAACATGGAAAGCCGAAGGACACAAGCAAGCCAATATGCAAGAGTTGCTACAGAGCAGTGCTAACAAAAGGCGCTAACACCTCTAATTTAGCAAAGCACCTGAAAGACAGACACCCGGATCTATATAAAGAATTTCGAGAGGTTGGTAACTGTTCTCATTTTAACATTACTGAAACATTAACCAAGATGGCCTAGTATTGTTGCTGATATGAGTGTTGTCTCGTTTTTTCACCGTAATTCTTAAAGTTAATATAATCTGACTGAGGAATCTTAGACAAGTAAATACTTTAACTGTGGTCAAATGTAAATTAACTTGCGCTTATTTAACTTTATTAAAAAAAATATTACTTAAATTCTGCAATTTGTCTTCATGTCGATGCAGTGAGCATTGTTTTCGCGTGTGATGCACGCACGTTTGCGTGATTATGTGAATCCGGCATTAAAATCTGTTCATCAAATAATGTTAATGTATTAACCAGCATTTATGTAGGGTTCATCATCCAGAGAAGAAGGTGAGGGTGCAGAAACGGAACTCAAAAATGAGTTCTCAGTATATGAAAAGATGCCTGAAATCAGTGCAGAAGAGGACCCACTCACATGGTGGAGGACACATGAGACAACTTTACCTCACCTTGCCCAGTTTGCTAAGAAGTATCTGTGCATCTCTGCTTCAAGTTCAGCTTCAGAGCGTGTATTTAGTACATCAGGGCTCATTTGCAGTGCAAGAAGGGCACGACTTACAGAGGAGCACATTGACATGCTGGTGTTCCTAGCTCAAAATCTGAAAGTTGCAAAACAACTTTAGGATACAGTAATGGGTGTCAATCTCACTCACCTCTGTAGAGAAAATCTGCATATAATTGCAGTAACGGATTCCATTTAATTATTTTGTTTACTAATTTGTTACTTGATGCATAAGATTGCACTGATTTTGTTTTTGCTTGAAGTTTAAGTATCTTTTGTTGATATTGTGATTGGATTTTATTTTATTTGGAAATACAAAAGATTGCACTTTTTTTTTTACTTGCACTTTATTGGTTTTTGAATGTATGGCAATTTGAGAGGCTTTTGAACAAGTACACTACCTCAAGACATTTTTGTTCATGTAAAATATACCTCATTGTCATGTTCTAGACTTGTTATATTTATCTTTAAATAAAAAATAAAAAAAATGTACCCCCTTAATACTGTGGCAGTTTTTTACTCCGTGGTATCGAAAATGGTATCGAATATCGATATTTTTCAAGGTATCGTATCGAAGTTAGAAATTCCAGTATCGTGACAACACTACAGTAGACTATTAAGTATAACACCAGTAGACTATTATTAACTAGGCTCTAAATGTACTGTAAAAACAATGAACAGCAGCTTTCAGCCTGTCACCATGATGCAAACATGAAATTTCAGACATACAGTAGTAGTTCTTTACAGGTTTTCATTCGATTTTCCATTGTTTTTTCTGTATAAACATGGATGTTTGACTGTTGCTCTCATGTCTCCTGCAGCGTCTCATGCATGAAACGGCATTCTAAAAACGCGGTGCTCAAGTTAAAAGAAGTTCAAATCCCATCTTTCTGCATTTTTTCCTATTCCACTGCCCGCGTTGCATCTTTGTCAACACAAGCGCATTCAGTGTGAATGGCACCTACCTAGTGATATATTCTACTTGTGGTCCTTCACAGAGGGCGTCATTGTCATGTTCTAGACTTGTTATATTTATCTTTAAATAAAAAATAAAAAAAATGTACCCCCTTAATACTGTGGCAGTTTTTTACTCCGTGGTATCGAAAATGGTATCGAATATCGATATTTTTCAAGGTATCGTATCGAAGTTAGAAATTCCAGTATCGTGACAACACTACAAGATAGTGCTCGTTGGCTTAAAAGCAGGGCACCCTCCTGAATTCTTAACACACTCTGAGGTGTGCACGAGCGCATTTATAGTGTCTGTAATACATCGTACAGAGGTCAAAATTATCATAAAAATACGATAATTATCATACGTATGGCAACACTGGTTCACACACATCCCGTAAAGATCCCGTATAGACACGTGACATTACGATGTGACGTGTAATGTGACACGTTCTGTTTCACAAGCTGGCAAACGATCTCAGCTTCAGCGCGGATAGTGAGGACCTACCTGATCTCTGCTTCATTACAGTTTGCACATATTTTTTCGTCGCGAATGTTGATAACGTGCCTCATCACTATGACACACCCTTTACGGCATTGGTTCTGGCTTTTGTTCACACAGAGCTTGTTCCGGGACTGAACCTGGCAATGTTACTAGGTCCCCAACCCGGGATCAATCCCGGGACGTGTTTGCGTTCACACAGAAGGCACTCCGGCAATTTTCCAGGACCAACGTGCAGTGTGAAAGGGGCTTAACTGACAGTCACCACTGATAAGCTACCACTAAATATTGTAGAAACTTAATTTGCTGTAAAGTTGCTTTGCAACGATTTGTATCGTGAAATGTGCTATACAAATAAACTTGAATTGAATTGAATTAAAGCCACATTTAAAAAAATGCATGAATGTCTTTTCATTAATTTTCATCAACAAAATGTCAAACCAACTGTCATTTATTTTAAAGAAAGATAGCACAAGCACATTCTTCAGGCACAATGTGTGACAAAAAGACAGTTCTTAGATTTTAAATGATAAACAAAATGATAAACAACACACCATTACTTAAAAGTGAGACACTCTACCCACATCCGAAAAAAGTTAGCTTGCTAGTGTGGGAGTTTTTTTAGATTCTGTAAAAAATATGGTGAATTAAACACCCCAATCTGCAGGAAGTGCAGATCAACAGGAAGCTCTTTTTGTTTGCTTTTGGCCAGTTATGCTTACAAACTCACTCCCTGTCTCCCTACACTTGTATTTTGAGTTTTTCAAAAAAGAGAAAACGCAACAGTTAAAGATGAATTTAACTTGAATTTAATTTGTTGTTTTTTATTTCTATATATATTGTGATAATAGTGTGTATATATTTTTACCTCGTAAATTGTTATATCACGAAAATCTGATATCATGATCTGATCAAGACAAAAATAATGTAGACTCAACATGATGGTCAAATGTTAGTAAATCATGTTCACAGGTCACAGGTAATTGGCCTAAATAACATCTGGCAAAGGGAATACCAATGAAAACTAGCCGTTGAGCTAATTTGGGTACATTTACATTTATGAATGTTGATTAATGTACACTGTCCCTTTTTTTTGGAACTAAATAAATAAACTGCACTTGTCACTGCCACTCTGCTAGGACACCAGCGTGAATTTACGATACACACACAAGCAAAAAGAGTTACCTAAATTGTTGTGGGCCGGAGAAACAGGGTTCGGTGACAGATTTGGAGACCCTGAAATGAAAAGGACAGATCAATGTTTTAATGGTGTATGAATGTACACAGCACATTTTGATTAAATTACTTTTGATTAGATTACCAATAATTCAAGTGTGCAGAGTCAATTATTCCACTTCCATTCCATTAAAGTTACCACATGTGTTTGTCTCATTTGTCAAATTTTTCAGGTTTTCGTTCCTAAATGTTCTTCTGCATAGATCTACTTCCTTACACCACTGATTAAGTATCAGAAAGAAACTCAAAAATAAAGTGGAAAAGTGATATGGAACTGAAATGCCACCAACAAACATAGAACTACTTCATAGCTGTGCAGTTATAGAAAATTCAGTGCATCAATGTGTCATCTTTAAAGAATGCAACATCACAGTGGTATAACTGGCATCACCTGTGTCCATACTGCGGTTCATCTGATGATCGCTTGTCTCTCCATCCTCACTGATGTAGCCTGGAGGGGGTGTTTCTGCAATACACACAAACACGCAGGTTAGCCTGCATGCACACAATTCGTACACACTCTGTAACACATAACACATCCAGCAAAATCTAGCAGGTGCATCAGAGACAATGACTCACAAGGGTTTTATTTCCCCCCTCAGATTAAGACACATGATTTAGAAAGCTGGGGTCAGCTCAGATTCAGCAGCAGGATATGAAACAACACACACTGCCCTATTACAGTAACAGCCTGCCTCTCTACAGCAAATGCCTTTCTGATGGAACTAATCCCAGCCAAAGCCACTCCATACATACTCCATGGGATAATCTTCCTCTTATGTAGCCAAAACCAATCTTTAAACCACTTCAGCATAAATTGTGTTGTGTCCGTCTGATGCAACAACGGGTAAACATCTCTTGAGTAGTCCTACAAATATAATAAACGACAGAACCGTAGCAGTCATTTGTTTACTGGGTGGGATTAACGTGTAAATAGTTAAATGGCTGTGATTCTTTATGCCCTTTTTCTCTTTTGAGTTCCCTGTGTGTACAATTGAGGCTTCACATGTACTCTCTATGTGTCTAAGGACATGGGTGTGTGCCTTTCAGTGTCACATGATCCTTCTGAAATCATTCTAATATGCTAACAATGTTGAAAACAATTGTGCTGCTTAATATTTCAGTGGAAACAGGGATATATTTTTTCAGGATTCTTTGATTCATGTAAAGTTAGAAAGAGCAGCATTTATTTGAAATACTCATCCTTTGTTACATTATAAACATTAAGTCTTTCCTGCTCTAATGCATCCTTGCTGAAAAATGTATGAATTTCTTTAAAAAAAAAACAACAACAAAAAAACATACTGATCCCAAACTTTTGAATGTTGGTGTATATACAATAGGTCAGAAATGCATATGACCACTTTATTTATAATGTAGACACTGGACCAGGGCTGCACGATAATGACAAAAATCATAATTGTCGATTATTCCCTTGAAATTCTAATGAAACAATGGAAAAACCCTTAAGATAACATGTAGCAAGAAAAAAAAAACACATCTAAGTGGACTTAACGATTAATTGCACCTTTTAACGATTATGTAATTGTGGCGTCCATAACTGTAATCGCGATTAGAAATTCGATTAATTGTGCAGCCCTACACTGGATAAAAGTCAATGACTGCCTTCTTACCTGTCAATCAACCACTGAACCAAAACAAGGGTTTTAAACTTTGCAGTTTCAGTGAAGCTTTAAAAGAAAATAACCATACAATAATAACCTTTGTAAACGCACACATAAATATGCAAAACTATGACTGAAGCACATCTAAAGTTAAGTTACAGTTATAAATAAATCAGGTATAAATAACTACAATGATTCTGCTTGATAAACATGATTTTTTTCATGCGTTTACTTTTCTTTATTGGTGCTTCATCAACACTGTAACACAATGATGTAGTGATTGTCTTCTGCCTGAATGGAGGCCAGTGGACAGGGCTATTGCTCTATCTGGTGTTTTGTCTCTTTCCTCCTCCTACATCCTTCCAGTAAAGTGATCCACCCACTGCCAACTAGACCACTGGAGCTACAGCTACAGGCTAAGCTTACTCGAATAAATCCGGAGAACACTTCAGATTGTGCTGCTTTATGGCAGATGATGACGATATATTATTTTAGAGGCCACTTGATGTTATTTGGTTTGGCTTTTCTGTTGTACCTCACGGCTAATCTGTTTTTATAACACTATGAACCTCAACTCCAAGAGTCTTCTCCAGTTCTTCCTTACTACTGTGTATTTGTCTCTTACCTGGTATGTAGTTGCTCTGGGGTTCGATGCCAGCGGGGAAAATTGTGTTTTCTGGGATGGAGTGACTGTAGTCATCCAGAGGAGGAAACTCACTAGGGATTTCAGTGTGACGAGGCACCAGCACTGGAGGAAGAACTTTAGTGAAGGAGAGAAAGTGAAAAAGAATGAGAAAGAAGAAGAGAAAAAAGATACCTAAATTACAACACAAACAAAACATATATATTGATCCACAACTGTCACAACATACTGCAGATACTTCTAAAATACTATTAATGCTAAACAGGGCTGTGCGATATGGATAAAAAAAATACTATCACAATGCGATTTCGACTATCACAATAGAATTTTGACACAATATTGCCTTACACTTTACATTCATAAATGCAACATTCATAAATTTGTTCTGCTTGACTTTATCTGAAGTAGTTACATAGTATTTCACTTGTTTTGTGACGCAAAACATTTTAAATAGCAGTGAAATTTCACAATTCTCAATTCCAATTTCGATACCACAGCAAAAACTACTAGCCTAACTAATATAAAGTTCAAACATTATTAAAGAGAAAACACCTAGTTAAATAAGATAAGAAGATAAAATTAGAAGAACTAAACAAATTACAAGTAACAACAGAAATAAATACAACTGAACAAAGATACAAATTAATAAAACAGTGCTTTAAAGTCCCCATGAAATCAAAATTCAGTTAGTATCAATATGTTAGTCTTAATGTTATCTATAAGCCAGTGTGCTCCAAAACAGTGACAAAATTCTGATTTAGAAGATTCAAAGCTTGCAGTTCGTCACTTCCGCCAAAACGGATCAACGATTTTTTTTGACGTCACCTTGTACTTCAGCTTCTCATCAAATCTTCTGACCAATCAAATGCTCTCTAGAATCCGAAGCGCTACACTATAAATAGACGCTGAAGCTGCGGCTGAGATCGGTCACTTGTTCACAGTGTAGTATTTCCTGTACAGTGAATGGCTCGTAAGTGCACAATGTAGGCGATAGGGAACGATTCAGATAGGGTAAATATGCTTTCGATTGGGGCAAATGAGGTCTGGTTTCACATTGTGTCACGGGAACCGCGGCAGCATGCACAGTCTGATCCGGATTTTGGCTCCGGTCCAGAGACGCGATAGCACGGAGCGGATCATATGCGCGAGTCGGCATATATTAAAAACGTTTAAAACTACACAGCCTCAGCGTGATTATGATCACTATTTTGTTTTACTAAGAGTTTCATATTGAATCGAGGGGGTAATCGTGCAGATATAAACAAAACGCTATTGGCTAATTTAAAAGGGGGGTGGGGCTTCTCGATATGTCCCGCCCTGACTTTCTGTTTCAGTTGAAATTACGTCACCACATAGAATAACGCTGCGTGTTTCAAGGCACTTCAGGGGAACTTTAAGTTTTTCAGGTATGTCTGACAGTAGTATTACAGTACAGAAATTGAATAACCAAATGTAAAACAACATTGCATAGTCTTCATTGTATAAATTAATTATTGATTCATCTTTAAAAGTTACAAAAGTTATTCAGTCAAGAGCAGTGGGTGTTTTTCTCTTTGTCTTTTGTTGTTTGATTAACATTGAAACAGACATCAGAAGGTAGGCTGCTGTCCCTTTAAGACCTCATGTATGGATCTGTTATACTGATACACTTGTATTTTCTTTCTCAACTCTTTACTTTAATTTAAGATCTGAACATAAAAAGCGCAAAAAGACATTAAAGAGAACTATATTCGGAATTTGCTAGTGGTGGCTTTCTGTGTGCGCTTTGGGTGTGTGTGCACAGAAAACTTTCTCAGACAGTGTGCGAGTACCCTGTTTCTGTGCTTTCTTTCATGCCAGTACAGTAAGCCCGCTCTGTTCTTTTCTGTTCTCACACTAGAATTAGGCGTGTTGCATTCTGATAGCATACTGAGGGGGTGGCGAAGAAATTGTGCTTTTTGCGGTTTAGAAATCGCAGTCTCGCATCACAATTTTATTACGATTTTGATTAATCACACAGTAGGGCTGCACGATATTGGAAAAACTCACATTGCGATATTTTATTTTTCTGCGATATATATTGCAATATGAAAAGAAAAATCACCACATGACTTGAATAGTTTATTTGGGGGAAAAAAATAATCAATGATTGAGGTGATTTTGTAGGCGAGTAAATCAGCATAGAAAATAAACAAATTACAAGCATAGATAAATATAACAGAACAAAGATACAAATTAAATAAGCAGTGCTTTATATTTTTCAGGCAAGTCTAACAGTATTCAGGTACAGAAATTGAATAATCAAAAATAATGTAAAATCATGAATAATGTAAAATTACACTGCATAGTCTTCACTATAAACTAAATCTAATAAATCTGTGTTAAAGCTACAAAAGTGATTTTTCTTTGTGTTTTGTTGAGTAGCCTAACATTCATAACACAGAAAGCCTCAGGAACATTAAACTGCTGTAAACCAATATAGGCTACTGTTACACACATCCATTTTCTTTCTCAATTGTTTCCCCTTCACCTAAGTCATAAGCAACTGCGTTTACAAGGATACTTGCAGAGCACAGTATTTCAGGCACAAATAGTGAACAGTGAACAGAATTCAGTGTTCACGTGCATCTGCGTGGCTCTCACCGTGTCTACAACGGACACGAGCGGCGCGGAGCGACGCGACAAAATACAATGAACCCATTAGCCTATAATCAGTGATGCTGTCAGTCTACACTGGATGCGATGCGGCACGACAAATCCCCGACAGTAAACTGATGCCGCGTTCTCTTTATGACGTACTGACACAAAGTTCAAATGATTGGCAAGGGTCGCTTTGTCGCGTTCAGTGTAGACCATAGACTGTGTATGTAGACAGACTTTAGGGCCGTTCACATGTCGCGCCTAAAATGCGTGGGAAAACGCCAGTCGTGCCGCTTTCTCCTTCTTTCCAAAGCGCTGGGGAGCTTGTGCTTTCGTGGCATCTGCTGTTGCTAAGCGACCGTGACCTGCGCTCTCCACGATGACGCGGAAGTTTCAACAAAAGATAAATGGATTTCCAGCACTGAAAATCGCGTGCAGTAGCTCTGCTACTAAATGTATTTAAAATGGGTATCTCTGTACAGCTGTCGCATCCGGTGTCTGTGTGTGAGCAAAGAAAACAATCAGTATAAATATAACAATCAGTAGCCTATACTAAACATCGCACATCCTGCGATGTGACTATCGCGGATGTGCACATCGCGATATCGATGATGAAACGATATATCGTACAGCCCTATCGCACAGCCCCAGTGCTAAATATGTTGAGTATTATAAGGTTCAGAAGATCATAACATCATGTAACAGAATTTTTTTTTATAGATTGTTTTTAGGCGTTTTGCCTTTATTTAGATAAAAAAGTGTAGAGTGTGGACAGGAATTGAAGATATGGAGATGGGAGTATTGTCTATAAAACTGTGTTGAATTTATAACCTACCTATAGAACAATATTAATGTAATTACACACTTTGTGATCATGCATACATTCATAATGATTATATTATAATATCTTTGCAGATTCAATTACATTTTAAAGTTATTATTTATTTAAGATATAAAATCTTTAGCTTTGGTTGAAGTTAATTATCATATTTTTGTTTAAATGGGTGGTCACACTACACTTTACACTACAGTTTTCATTCCTTTGACTTCCATTCAAAAGTGACAAAGTGAAAGTGACGTGACATGTGGCCAAGTATGGTGACCCATACTCGGAATTTGTGCTCTGCATTTAACCCATCCAAGTGCACACACACAGTGAGCAGTGAAAACACACCCGGAGCAGTACGCATACAAATACGGAAAATATCAGAAACAAAAGCATTTCAAAGCTCAGTTTATTAAAGTTAAATTTAAGATGTCATATCCCATCTGTTGCATTGTCCAAAGAAATTTTGCATGCTCAAAATCAAACAATAATTGGCAGATCCCCTGCAGTGCTGTGATCAACCCCTTGTAGAAGACTTCATGCCTAAACGAATGATACTGTCTGATAGTGTGCTTGATGCTTTCATAAATATCAGGTTGTATTACCTGGTGTCTCGACCCGCTGGTAGTGGTAGGGATTGACGCAGACCTCGTCCTTTTTCATGTGAAAGGCAAACTCACAGAGTTCAATGGCTCTGAGCTCATGATGAGACTGCAGGTCAGGCCAGCGCCAAAGACGACAGTAGATCACATGAGGGAGTCCTTTTCTGTGAGATACTTGCAACCGACCATCTAGTGATCTGAGAGAAAGAGAGAAAAATAATAGGCGATAATAATGATGACTGTAGCAGAAACAGTCCCAGCAGCTCATTCTCAAAAATCCAAAACAGAAGTACAGAGGAAATGTTATAATGGCTTAAATAAGAAACATTGTGTAAAACCTTAAATTACCACAATACAAACACTGCTCAAAGACTTGCAGGGACAATGCCAAGGTATTATGTGAGACCGCACATGAAGTAAAAGTGGCCCAATTTCCTGTTAATGTGGTGCTTTCAGTTGCACATCACACGTGATGTGAATGAGGTGAAGAAAGAGGAAGTCCAAAAACAAAATGCATTTCAAAACTGTGTGTGTTGTGTTAGGCTATTTTGATTACCCCATTACAGCCACTATACAGTCAGTGCTATCATAAAAATAGACTTACTTGTAGGTTTACAATTCTACATGTCACATTTATTGTCCGACTACAAATATTTCAGCGAAATGTATATTTTAGTCAGAATTATTGCTCTCCTATTTAATTGAGTTCTGTCTGTTTGGCACGCATGCGTGCGGCGGCGCTCGCTGTGAAGTTTAGCGGAGAATCCCAAAGCAGAAAAATGGAAGGAAATATTTCCATGGCTTTCTAACATTTACAGATGGAGAATATACCTGTGAAATGTAAGTTATGCATTCAGGAAGACAGCACATCTCAAACACATTAAACAGCGCGAGCAGCCTAGTGTCTCTTTCAGCGGCACATGCAGCCTTTCTGTCAGAGCATATGACGGGCCGAGCCACTTAAACTAATGTGCGAAACAAAAACTATAAATTATGTCTTACCAGTTTTTAAAGGCCTTAATATGAAGCTTGTCACATGTTTAGAACCAATTGGATTATGCACTTTCTCCGCAACAGCTCAGTCGGTGTCCTCTGCTATATTTTCAGATGTGCTCCTATCAAACTACTGTATATCGATATAAACGGTATTGCCTCATATTGAATCGCTTATAAAGAAAATATCGATCTATCGTACAAACTCGATATACCGCCCAGTCCTAGGTTTGTATATGTTTTATATCATCTATAAAGTCTTTGTACACAAAGACTACACAACACAACATACGGGGACGAGATGTCAGTCAGCTAAATCCGCCAGCAACGGCTGTTTAGCATGATGGAAACGCCTTGCCTTGCATAACTGATTTTATTTGTTACAATACTGATTCTAATTAATGCAGATGTTAAAATATGTTCTCAATTTCTGTACTGTTTGTTTAGGGGCAGGTTATGAAGTCAGTCACGGCATCTTTCAACTGTAAGTGAAGCACGAGGCAACGGTCTGAAGTTCGCAGTTCCCCCACCGACCAGCAGCCCATCTCCGGCTCAGATTTCAGCGACACACCAACACAAGAACCGGCACTATTTCGGTTAAAAAGATAACAGAGAATGGTTGAATACACTTGAATTAAAATGTTACTTTTAAATGTTATATTTGTATAATTAAACGAGTTTAATTAATTAAACGAGTTTAAACGTATGTAATATTGTAAACTATGCTGTATAATTCAATTTGTTTTATAATTTTGTCCATGGGTGCTCTTGCTTATTAACAAATGTTCACCTTTTGATTATTACTCTTGCCTCTAATAATTCTGTGTGACTTTTAATTTCCAACCTATTTTTGATACATTTTAAGCCAGCAATAGTAATTTTTAAATAATAGTTGAGTTAAATAAAACAGGCGCTGGGTTGGTCCATATTTGACCCAGCGCTGGGTTGCCAAAATAACCTAAATTGGGTTGTTTTAATCCAGCATTTTTTAAGAGTGTAATTTACATTTTTGGGTAACCCTTTCAGTTCACACATGCATGCCCCAGTCAAAAACACATAAAGGCTAATGGAGACAAGAGAGAGTGGAGGAAGAGGGGAGAACTCAAACAGAACAACGAAAAGCATTTCAGTACACATCTTATTTTTACCTGCTTCGCTTTTTAACTGCGGGCAAATAAACTCAGACTTTTCTTTGGATGGCCCCATGTGGAAAAGGAAAAAGGCATAATCATCTCAGAATAATGCAGTGAAGGCCTCAAGCAACGGAGAACAACCACACAGTGAACTTTTTCTGTCTGAGGTGAGTTATTCATGGGTCGAGACAAAGAGGACTTTCGCAGGCATAATCTAGCACACCATCATATCAAAACACATTTTCACACTAACCTCATTCTGTACGCCTACGGTGCTTATCTTTACATTCAAGGGCTTTCGAGCGACTCACACATTTTCATGATGCCTATCGGTGTAGCAGCCTCCTATAACGGTACATTCGTGATTGAGATCAGATCAAATACGCCGACGCAATGCACGCACTGCTCCGGTGTTCTGAAAAATGGGGCCATACAATATGGTCCAAACCTCTCAGAGCACTCTATTATACATGACTGCTACATTGTGTGTTTGAAATATGCAACAGCAGCCAAAGTGCTGAGAGAGAGAGGAGGGCTGTGCACTAGGTCAGCAAAGCTCTCCAACCTTTTGAGGAATCCAGGCCACAGATACCATTCATAACACACTATTCATCCTTATACACAGTCCATAAAGCACAGATATGAAAAGAAAGGTGTGAACTTTCCTTACCAGACCCGTCTAAATGGGGTCATATAATACATTTCACATCATTTTGTTTTCATTCGCTGTACTGCACTTAAAAACAGTTCATGATGTGGTTTCCATGACCATCCTCTCTCTGATCCATAGAATCAAATGAGTCTTTTTTGTGTGTGTCTTGAAGACTTCTACGGCTGCATTCACTCAGTGTTAATGTTTTGCCACGATTTTATTTTTTATAAATTGAGGAATCACGATTTTGAAAAGAAATATTACCAAACGTTAGAATTAGACACAATATGCCAATGTTAACAGTAAAGAGAAAATAATGATCCATCCACGTGTTGGCGCACGTGATTAACCACTCACGTGTGACGCGCTCTGTGATAGACCAGAAGTAGAATATATCACTAGGTGCCATTCACACAGAATGCGCTTTTGTGTTGACAAAGATGCGATGCAGGCAGTGGAATAGGAAAAAATGCAGGAAGATGGGAGTTGAACTTTTTTTAACTTGAGCGCCGTGTTTTTAGAATGCCGTTTCATGCATGAGACGCTGCAATAGAGGCGAGCGCAACAGTCAAACACGCCATGTTCACATAGAAAAAACAATGGAAAAGCAGCACAATCGAATAAAAACCTGTAAAGAACTACTACTGTATGTCTGATATTTCATGTTTGCATCATGGTGACAGGCTGAGAGCTGCTGCTCATTGTTTTTACAGAACATTTATAGTTAATAATAGTCTACTGGAGTTATACCTTCAGTCGTTTTGAATTTGAATTACCTTGACTTTTGAGATTTTTTTTTAAGCACTCCAACAAGTGTTTGATAAGACCACAATGTGGACCACACACGATCGAAGGTCAAAAGAGCTGGACAAGTTGATCATGGAAATGATCGCCACAGATATCCTGCCTTATGCAGTTGTGGAGGGTGCTGGTTTTAAAAGATTACTGGCCAAGACAGAGCCCAAGTACCCTTTGAAAAGTGAGAAGTATTTCCGCACTCAGCTGATGGACCAAATTCACTCAAAAGTTGTAACACGAATAAAGCAACTTCTCTCTGTGGAAAATGCAGGAAACAGCATTGCTTTTACCACTGACTGTTGGTCTGGTTCTACTGAAGCCCTCATGAGCTTGACTACTCATTTCATCGACAAGAACTGGAATAGAGTGTAAACTGTGTTGAATGTTAAGGCCATGTCTGGGTCCCACACAGGAATACATTGGGCAGATCTTCCTGACCATGCTTGAGGAATGGAACATCAACACACAGCGTGTCCTCCTAGTGCTAAGGGACAATGGCGCGAATATGGTAAAAGGCATGAGACTTTCAGAGATGCCTGACCTGAGCTGCAGTGCTCATACACTTCAACTGATCATTAATGATGGCCTCAGCTCCCAGAGGGTGGTGGGGGACATATTGGCCAAACTAAAAAGAATAGCCACACACTTTAACCACTCAGTTATTGCACAGCAACGGCTGTCTGTAATTCAGAAGGAGGTTGGTGTTCCCCAGCATTCCATACTCCAGGCTGTGCCAACCAGGTGGAACTCCACACTACACATGCTCCTGAGGATGCTGGAGCAAAAGAGAGCAATCACAGCCTATTCAAGTGACCATGGGCATTTCACCTGTCCAACGGCGGACGAGTGGGATGTGGCAGCCAACCTGGTGGAGACCCTGACACCACTAGAATAGATAACACAGGAAATGAGCAAAGCAGACTCCTCTGCCTCCTGCATTATACCATGTGTAGCAGTGCTGAGGTGTCTCCTGCAGTCACAGGGACCCACCAGTAAAGGAATTCAGACTCTGAGAAAGACTATGCTGGAGAGCCTGGATAAGAGGTTTTCCAAACTAGTGAAAGATTCGAAAGAGGTGGTGTTCGCATGCCTGCTCGACCCACACTACAAGGAGTGGCCCTTGTCGCCAGAGACACTAACCCAAGCCAAAGCCTGGCTGAGGGAAGAGGCAGAGAAGACTCCACCAGACCCAACACCAGCAGAAAGCACCAGTGATGAGGGAGACCCCAAAAGACAGAGTGGAGGACCAGGCCCACAGTCTTCTAGACAATCTGTATGACACCATGCTCACTTCAACCAGTCATGCACAGGCACCTGAGGGGATCCTTGAAGAGCTCAAGAGGTACATGAATGAGCCAGTTATAGACAGAAAAAGAGGCAACACACTGGAGTGGTGGAAGCACAATATTAGCTGGTTCAAGGGACTATCAGGCCAGGCCAGGAGATACCTCTCCTGTCCACCCTCCTCTGTGCCAAGTGAGAGGGTGTTCAGCACTATTGGCAACATTTATGAAGAGAAGCGAAGCTCCCTCAAAGGAGAGAATGCAGAAAAGTTGTGCTTTCTGCATTATAACCTGCCCCTGTTGGATTGGCAGTATTAAGGACTGTAGGACTGAAGGGGACTTCTGAAAAAAAAGAAAAAGTGTGTTATTATGTTCATTCAATTGTTCATTTACATAGGCTTGCCCCACACCAAGGTTATTTTCGTAAACGAAAACTAAAACTAAGACTAAAACGATTGATGAAAAAACAATTAAAAGTGTAATTTCTGAAAAATAAATAAATAAAAATCATACTGAACCAGAACTTTTAAAAGGTAGTGTAACCTCTTTCAATACCATTTTTTCATACACAAAAGAAATACGACAGGTAACTACAATTAGGATCATTTAGGAAATGAAAAAGTTTGCACTGAGATCAGTCCTTGGGCTCTGGCATTCATTAGATGCATCCGTCTGAAAATATTGTATCAAGCGTCAGTTCTTCAACTTTCCATTACATTCCAGCACTCAGCAGAGAGAGAGCCTGTGTTTGCTGCTGCGTGGGCAGACCTCATGTGAAAAGGAAGCACTGAATGACTATTGATTGAGCTACAGAGGGCAAATTAGGTCAGCAGCAAGGCACATCCAACTAAAAGAAACGCAGACATGCGCGCGCACACACACACACACACACACACAAACACACACACACACACACGCACACAGCCTGGAGGGCGGGTCTAGCCCAGTCTCCCCCTGACCCCCCACCCCCATCTGCATGCCGGCTGTCACTTGAGTAGAGAGAGGGGTGAGACTGGTACAGAGAGGGGGTGAGGAAGAGAAAGAGAGTAGAGGGGGTGAGCTGGAAGGATGGAGGGGTCTTGACACAGGCTGAACCACACTGGGTAGATTTAATCTGGAGGGTAAAACACAGACGTTGTGGACTGCATTGGGCAATTTCTGGATCAGCCCATGCAGCCTTGACTTGACCATGACACTGACACTTCCACAGAGCATTATCATACTCAGCTATCATAGAAATCAGAAACAGCTTTACTGTTCTGGATCTTTTCATGCAACTTTTTAAAAGTTTTGCTTAAACAAAAATTTAGACAGAGCAACAAAAAAAATACAAAGGCAAACTAACGTTGATGTGTTGTAATTTGCACTTATACACTACTAGATTCAACATGATGCATTTGCTTGGAACACAAGAATCTTTCCTAAAGAAATCTTTCCTAAGTAACTTTCAACTTTACTTTTTCGTGCTGTGTCTGGTGTGACAGGGCCTTTTAAAGCTGAACTTGCATGCCTGTTTGAAATCAGTGAGTTTGACAAAACACGAACTCAGTGAACTGTGATACATGCAAATTTGATGCAAAGGGAGAGAAGGACAATAAGCAACTTCGACATCAGACCAGAGTGTCTGTGGGACCAATTCACCCTGTGGAACATACCCCAACCCAGCCCCCCTTTAAAAACGCTTTAAGACCACTGCTATTCCCCCTTCCCCCAGTCTAAACCCAGACAGCACGCAGCAGTACAACAGACTTAATACTAAAAGACACTGTGCAGTGCAGTGATGACAAACATATACCAAACATATGATGACAAACATATGATCGCACAGTTACTACTAAAGATAAAAGCTAAACCAACTTATTACAGTTACTCAACTGTGGACTGACTGGTCACAATATCTGTATTGGAATAACAACTGGAAGCTGATAAAATAGAAAATCTGACTGTAAAAATACTGCAGTAAATGTCTGGAGGAAACCCAAATCAAATGGAAACTCTTAAAGCCTAATTTTTTTTTCCTAATTCAATGCTTATATACCTGCTTATCCTTTATTTCATAATGCGAGTGTGGGTAAACTATCACGTTTAACTTGTATTATTTTTTAAAAAGGCTTTGGTTTTCCTTGCTCTGCTAAAGTCATTAAGGCCTCCCTTAAGTAAACAGAGCCCTGCAGGGGTCTCATGTGCAGGTGGCTGGATGTGGTTACGGGGGCCCGTTCTCAGCAGGGGAGCAGGACTATAGCAGAAACACTAACAACCATCATACGGTTGCAGCACGGGCCAAAATTAACACTCTAGTTAGTCACTTACTTAGCACTCACAAAAATACTGCATAGTTTAAATCGCCATGTAAAATAACGTAAAAATTAGCTAATCATATCACACAGATACAGAAGGCTTACTGAAAAAAAAAAGATCAGTGACTGCCATGCATCGTATAACAAATTTATAAGTGGAAAATATTAAGTATAGGAACGGGAAGCCAACGTTTTTTTCCTTTGTTGTTATTAACTGCAGAACACCAT